CACGAGAGCCCATCCTTGCTACAATCACATGAGGTTTATTGACAGGACAAGAACCAGTGCACTGGGGTCAAAACTCATTTCCCACGCAGGGGTAGAGTTCGACCCCGAGTAGCTGGGAGAAGGGGTACTTAAGGGAAGAAACCATAACCTAATAACCCAAAGGGGGTGGGAGGGCATCATTGGAAAGTTCTGAAAATACTAGTGATAATCACAATGTACTCCCTGTTTCTCAAGCTTATTCTCAAGATTATAATCTAACTTTTATGGTCAGCTACTTCCTGGAACAGAGTCACTGAACTGGCTAACCTAGATTTTTGGTTCTTCTCTCCCTGCTAAGTTTTGGTTGTACTCTTTCTGCTAGAGGGGTCTGAATTTATTTGGGTCTTTCAGCTGCTCATCCACAGGGCCGGACTTTGAATCCCACAACCACCAGACAGCTTACTACTCTCTTTAATTCCACTTACAAATGCCCTCTTGTGGCTCCACTGGTCCCTGGCATCCACTTGGAATATACACTGAGAAACTCAAGTCATCAGGGTTAGCAGCCACAAATTTTATCCCCTGAGACAAGACTACAGCATTAATTTGGGGTTCTGAGAAATGATTATGAACAAGTGTTTAGCCCACAAAATAACACATTCCACACAAAAGAATATAAAAGAGATACTCGTTTATCACTTTGAATTGTTAGATTTTATTATTCAAATTCTGTTTTCTTCTATCCTGCAAAGAAAACATGTTTACAATCTGAAAAGAAGGCAATATTTTACTGACTTAATGTTTCAACTTATCAGGGTGATGGCCCAGTGGGAAATGTGTATGGTGTACAAAGCTGGTAACCTAATCTTGATCACCATATGAAGTGAGACAAAAATCACACAATGTTGTCTTATGGTCTCCACATAACTGTCAGGTCTAAAACCCTATAATCATATTACACATACATATAATAGAAGCTTTTTTCAAATACATCTAATTGATATTATATTATCTGGCATCTATAGATAATTCCCTCAGAAGAAAGCAATTCCATTAGGACTTCAAGCTGTACTGTGAAATATGTAATTGATGACTGATCAGCCAACATTATTACATCTCTACCAGTCCGATGTAGAGGTTGGTTTGAATCCACATTTGAGGTATTTAAGATTTTTTATATTCTCTATTAAGTATTTTTATATTAACTTTGTTAAAATACGTTGACAAAACAGCAAATGTTGAGACTAAGACTTGAGGTTTCTCAGTTCAAATATATCCTTAACTAATTACTGACTACAAGCTAGGTTGGGTAACAAACATTTCAAGGGAATTTGTAAAGATATGAAAAACAAAACCAGGAACAACAATCCTCTACCCTTTCACAGACACTGCCTGATATTTTAACAAGCAATGTAACACTTAGATGACGGGCATCTGATTCTTAACATTTCAGCAGAAAAATACCTATCACTAAGGGAAAACCCCATAGGAGATATACAAAAGACACAGAAGGAATACGAAGACCACAAAATAAATTTAACTCAATGGATTTGCTAAATGTATAGAACACTTAAATATCTACTTCAAATACTGCAAAGTGAAAACCACAATGCAGTGATCTGCCCCATCAGTCTTGAGTGACAATAGTAAATAATTAACTTTCTTCATAATGAAGAGCACATGAGACAAGAGTTCCTAGAAGTTACTGCCGACTGTGATGTCTAAAGGCTTTGCCAAATCATTTACTTGTTTTCCTCTTGCAGGAGTTCTTCCCTGCTACCTGAATATCAAGATGATAAAGTAGGTATTTAAAATATTTACAGGACTCAAAACATGGACAAGCAGTTATGTCAAGTTCATTTGCAAAAAAAAAAAAGGGGGGGGGAGGTCAGGTTTTTAAGAACTTCTTGCAGTTCCTGCTAGAGGAATACACAAGGGTCTATCCTATTTGCTAAGAAGCACGAACATTCGCATACCACACAAAGACACATGGACATCCATAATTCAAATGAAATCAAATCTTTTCCAAACAAATTTTCAGTCATGAATGTTTTTTCTCCTATAGGTATTCATTCCTGTAACCCAGGTGTTGAGGCATTTAAAGGCTTACTTATAGAGTTTTTCTGCATCAAGAATGGGCTCATGGAAGAGAAAGCAAGCATGTAGACTTGAAGTTATAGAAATTCATTCTTCTCAATTGGTGGCATCATTTGGGAAGATTTGGGAAATACAGTCTTCCTGGGAGAAATATGTCACAGGGGTTGGGCCTGAGACTGAACATTCACACATCATTTCAAGTTCCTACTCCTGGTTTATGCCACAGGCTGAGGATGTGAGTTCTTGGCTTCCTAAAGTAGCTGCCATGTTTGACATTTTTTGCCATGAGACTTTCAAGGTAATCCTGTAACCGTCTATAAACCAGGGTTACATTAAACCCTTTCATAAACTGACTTAGACATTATGCAATAACACAGACAAAGAAGAGGCACTCATACACATATACAAAATTTTCATTTGGATAACTGTTTTATGTAATTGAAGAAAAGTGTGAAATCAAAAAGAGTTACCTTATCATCGAATTCACAGGACTTCTGTCCATATGATTTTGTAGGTGCAAATAAAAGGAAAACCTTATGATGCTTGAACAGATTTGACACTAGAGTTTTTTCCTTCCCAGTCTTATGTAAGTAAATGTGTGCTGGCTGAAGATATTTCCAAAACATTTATAGTCACATTCCCTTTAGTATGAATCTTCTCAGTACCTCAAATTGTACTGTGATATGCAAAGGCTTTAATAGACGTATCAACCACTAAAAGTTTTACTCTTGTATAAAGACTACCAAGAGGAGGAAAACTTTACCACACTGATTGCACTTAAAGAGTTGCTCTGGCCAGACGCTGGTGGAACACCCTTTAATTGAGCACTCAGGAGGCAGAGACAAGACAGACAAATCTCTGTGTGTTCAAGGCCAGCCTCGCCTATGAGTAAGGTCCAGGACAGACTTCAATACTACAGAGAAACCCTGTCTTGAAAAACCAAAAAAGAAAAAAGAAGAATTTCTCTGCAATATGATTTTTTTCTCAAGATTTTAAAGCCTGATGACACATACAAAGTCTCTACCACATTGACTAAAATTGTAGGGTTTCTATTTAGCATGTGTTCTTTGATGGATGTGGAGACTTCTACAAGATACAAAGGCTTTACTACATTGATTGCATTTATAAGGTTTCTCTCCAGTATGTGTTCTTTGGTGATATTGAAGAACACTAACATATGAAAAGGCTTTACCACACTGATTACATTCATAGGGCTTCTCTCCTGTATGTGTTCTTTCATGTACATGGAGATTACTCTTCTGTGAAAATGCTTTATCACACTGATTACATGCAAAGGGCTTCTCTCCAGTATGTGTTCTTTTATGTACTTGAAGATTATCGAGATATGCAAATAATTTACCACATTCAGTACATTCATAGGGTTTCTCTCCAGTATGTATTCTTTCATGTATTTGGAGTTTAGAGCGTCGTGAAAAAGCTTTACCACATCGATTGCATTCAAAGGGCTTCACTCCAGTATGTGTTCTTTGATGGAAACGGAGATTACTATTGTTTGAAAAGACTTTATCACATTGATTACATGCAAAAATCTTCTCTCCAGAATGTGTTCTTTCATGTACTTGAAGATCATTATGATATGCAAAGAATTCTCTACATTTAGTACATTTATAGGGTTTCTCTCCAGTATGTGTTTTTTGATGTACACGAAGATTACTCTTCTGTGAAAATGTTTTATGACATTGATTACATGCAAAGGGCTTCTCTCCAGTATGTGTTCTTTTATGAACTTGAAGATTATTGTGATCTGCAAAGAATTTTCCACATTCAGTACATTCATAGGGTTTCTCTCCAGTATGTGTTCTTTCATGTACTCGGAGATGACTTTTCTGTGAAAAGGCTTTACCACATTGATTGCATGAGTAGGGTTTCTCTCCAGTATGTGTTCTTTTATGTACATGAAGATCATATTGACTTGCAAAGACCTTACTACACTGAGTACATTCATAGTGTTTCTCTCCACTATGTGTTCTTTTATGTCTTCGGAGTTTAGAGGGTTGTGAGAAAGCTTTATCACACTGATTACATTCAAAGGGCTTCTCTACACTATATTTTCTTTTATGTTTTTGGAGCTTACCATGACTGGCAAGAGCTTTACTGAATTGGTTACATTCATAGTGTTTCTCTCCAGCATGTTTTTGGAGACAACTGGTACCTGCAAAGGCTTCATCATATTGAATAACATCACACGGTTTCTCTGCAGAATGGTTATTTTCATGCCTTTGAGGATGTCTGTAACATGCAGAGGATTTACCACGTTGAGTATATTCAGAGCGTTTCTCTCCATTATGGCTTCTTTCATGCCTGCAAAGATAATTGGCACATGTAAAAGTTTTACCACATGCATTGCTCTGATGACTTAATGTTTCTCATGCATGTGGTATATGGATTAAGATTTCTTCACAAGAGCCTTTTTGACTCATAAACTCACACTTTCAATAAAGTTAGCAAAGTCACAAGTATATGAGTAAATACTTGTTTCAATAAAGACTGTTATTTAGACAGATTTGGTCAGATACTTATCATCTATTCAATGTATATGCCTTGAGCAATGTCAGAGTGGTATGAAACTAAATGAATTGGCAGTTCTATAGCAAAATTCTCTTGGGGCTATGAATTAAGTGGTGGCATCAGTTAAGGCATTGTTTTCCTGTCTTCTTTTTTTAGAGGAATGCTTTAGAAACACAGAACAGTACCGGACATGGAAGTATATGATTTTGTGAGAAACTGATAATGATCAATATATCTCTAGCTGTTCTTATTTTCACTGTTGCTTTGTTTCAAATCTGCCAGGACACATTACAATTTCTTCAAGGAAAATTTGTATCAAGTTGCACATGAAAATTACCTCCTGTGTCTTCTAGCACTTTGACAATGTTCTTCAGAATTATGGTCTTCCCAACTGTAGCCTAAAATATAGTAACAGGAAAATGTATGCTATATTATTGGAAATTGTGCAAAATTTAATATCTTAACCATGGCTTAGTTATTCAGCTCATTTTTATTCTTTCTCAAAGAAAACTACACAAGAGAATCAATAAACAAAACAGTTGTCCCTTTATTTTAAAATGTGAAGGAAAGTTCACAGTCTTACCTATGGCTGTGAGGTTTGTGCGTGTCTCCAGCATCACATTTTTGTAGAGACTCTTCTGAGAAGGACTGAGCAAAGCCCACTCATCCTGAGTGAAGTCAATGCGCACATCTTCATAGGTCACTGCCTTCTAGAATAATCCAACCAACAGTAAAACAAAGTGTGATCCTGACAATGTAAATGGATACTTCTTATACAGTAATATGTTTATCTAATTCTGGGACTTCCTACACTTCTTTCATGAAATAGACATTATAGTGTAATCACCAAGTTACTTTAGAAAGAAACTGATGTGGAGGCTCAGGTGCCATTCCTTTGTCCATTACATAGCATACATCCTTGAGAAAGAAATGGCCATGAACAGGCCTACAGACAGAGACAACCAGCAGAAAAACACTAACAAGAACACTTCAGAGAAATAGTAAGGACAATTATTAACTAGAAAAAAGATGGAAGGAAGCTGGAGAGATGGCTCAGTGGTTAAGAGCATTGCCTGCTCTTGCAAAGGTCCTGAGTTTAATTCCCGGCAACTACATGGTGGCCCACAACCATCTGTAATGGGGTCTGGTGCCCTCTTCTGGCCTGCAGACATACACACAGACAGAATATTGTATACTAAATAAATAAATAAGATGGGAAACGTGGGTATATTGACTCATGCCTTTAATACCAGCACTTGATGAAAAGCAAATGAATTAAATTGAGTGCCAGCCAAAGCCTAAGCAGTGAGATACACTTTATTCAGAGTTACAAATTAGGAAAACTTGGTCTCCTCCCAAAAAAAGTCATTTAAACAAAATATGTAAAAAGAAATCAGAGGATTTATTGAAGTTCTACAAATGTTTTGCATTCACTCTCCATCTGCATTCATCTTCCAGAACCTGCTGTGGTCCAGTTTAAACTGTAACATAGTAAGATCTTACTAAAGGGAGAGCCTGTTTAAACAGTTACAAAGGAAACAAAGAAAACATCAGCACTGTAAATGTTGATCATAATAACATGGGGAAGGAGAGGTGTCCCTGCACTTAAACGGTCTTGCATATAGTTGGGTAGACTCAATTGCCAATACACACATGGGGACTTATAATTAACCATTACTTCAACTTTGTGGGTTCTAAGGCCTCTACTGACCAATATGTGGAACAGGCACACATGTGGTAAATACCCGTGCATATAGAAAAAAACTCATATTCTTTGAATTGAATAAAGAAAAAAGGCAGGTAGAATATAACACACCTTCAATTCAGTGATTCAGAAGACACAGGTATTAATGCTGTGAATACTGCTATCCTAGGAAAGAGAATGATACCCTCTACCACACTTCAAATTAAGATGTAGTGAAGTTCAGCATAGCAGCAAATGCTTGGAATGTACAAAAATCTACATTCCAAGAACCCCAGTCAATAAAAAATACATAAAGACAAACATGTTGGCCCATCATTCATCCCTCTGTATTGAAGCCAGAATCATTTATATCTCTGAGTTGAGGTCAGCATGGTCTAGGGAGCTACTTTCAGGACAGCCAGAGGTACACAGAAAATCATTCTTTCAAAAACAAAGCAAAAAACAAAAAATTAAAATAAAAATCAGGAGAGCAAAAAGGATTAACAGTGAATAGCAATTGCTTCAACTGCATGCTTTGTCATTTAGTGATACCATCGATAATGGTGGTGAAGTCCTGGCAGCAGGACACACATAACCAGAAATGGGTTGAGGCTATAGACATGTAAATCCAATCTTCAATGTGAAATTTCATCCAAAAGGCTCCTAATATTACACATATACAACAAAGAAGGACACCAAGAAAAAAGAAGTGTTCAAATACTTCATCCTATATGAGAGCTTTTTCTTCATTCAACTACATTCTGATCCAGATACCTAAATGTTCAGTCATCTCATGATGAAAAAGTATTTAGTCTAAATTCATGATTGTCATAGGCCAGAACACTCCCTGACTTGTTTCAATGTGAGTCTCTCATAACACTCATGATAATGACATGACTTGGTTATACCCAGTCCAAAACAGTCACACCTCCTACTACTGCCACCCCATTGGAGACTATGGGGGCCAACTACATTCAAACTGCCGCAGTGGTAAAGCTGAGTCTTGAAGTAGATGGACTCTCAGTTATCTAAGGAGCTGCCACGTTGAGTTCCACAGGGGCTGTACAGATTTTCATTCCCAGCAGCAATGGTGAAGTCTTCTCTTTGCTCCACAACCTCGTAAGAATGAGTCGTGATTTCTGTTATTGAACCTACCCATTCTGTCAGGTGTAGGATGAACTCTGAACCTGTTTTGATTTAAATTTTATTGATGGCTAAGGATGTTGAACATTTACTTAAGGGTTTCTAAGCCAGTTTAGAGTCATCTATTTAGAATTCTTTGTTTAGATCTGTACCACATTTTCATTTGGTTAATTAATTTGCTGATGTGTAGCTTCTTGAGTTTTTTTTTTCTTTCTGAGCAAGTAAACTCAATCTATGTAGACTAAGATGATATATACTTACTGGATATTGCCTTTGAAGAAAGAATAATCACAGAAAAATCCACTGACCAAGAGAGGGTAAGTAACAAGGATGGCTGTAGCAGGGGGTGCTTGGATACTCAAGGGAAAGAAGAAATAGACTAGATTTTGTGGGTGTACTCAGGGCAAGAAAAGGAAGGATCAGAGGTGATGTGGAAACAGTGTGGCAGCAACCTTCTACAAGCTAACAGGTGACTCTAGTGAGGACTCCCAGTAACTCAGAATATGGAGCATGAACTGGCCATCTTCTGTAATCACAAACAGCTCCCAGTGGTTGGACTAAAAAAACCTAGGCAACCAGTAAATATATGATATACACTTGTTGTGTTTGGAAGATATACCAGGAAAATGGTGGCTCAAGTTTGGTGTAGTAGCAAACCAATGACTGGCCAAATTTGAAACCCAAGGTTGCCAGGATGAATACCTAGATGGGCAGAAATCAGAAGATGGATGGCTCAGGGCACTAGGGTAGATTCAATTACAAGAAACAAAAAAGAAAAAAAAAATCAATGTAGTGATACCTAACTCTAGGTACAATGGCTCTCTAGGTCTCCAATTGTGTTCAGCTTTGTTGCCACACTTCTTTTCCTTGGGCCCCATTAGCAGCTCACCCCAGCAAGTAGCCAAAGACCCTGACATCTCTAATATCTTGCATAATTAAAAAAATTCTATCCCTCCAATCTCTAAGATCCACTTACGATCTTCCAGGCTACTCCACAGGTCTTGTGTCAAAACACTGACTCTGCCATCTGGAGTCCACACACCTGGTCTTCTAGACTCTGGATGACTCAATTCCACTACCACTGATGTTCTTGCTCATCATCTCACAGTGCTGGCCTCTCCAAAACACTGGGGGCTTCTGTTGCAACTGGGCTGCACTTTAAACAGTAGTCTCTCACAGGGTCACCTCAGGGTGCCACATCTAAACTTTTTGGCATGATGTAACATTAGGGCCGGGCTTGTTGTCCTGCCCAGTTCCCCAGTTGTTTAGTCCCAGAGAAAATCACACAGAGAGTCTGCAATAAGATTATAAACTGGCCCATTAGCTTAGGCTTCATATTAGCTCTTATAACTTATATAGCCCATTATTCTAGTATATGTTAGCCACATGGCTTGGTACCTTTTTTTAGCTGGGCAGGTCACATCCTGCTTCTTTGGTGCCCTGGGCAGGAATCGGAGGAATGGGCTTCCTCTTTCCTGGAATTTTCCTGTTTTCATTGCTTCGACTCTGCTTCCTGTCTGGTTGATCCGCCTATACTTCCTGCCTGGCCAATCAGCATTTATTTAAAACATGATTGACAGAATACAAACAATTCTCCCAGACCAGCATGACCCTTATGGTCCTGGGCAGGCATTCAACTGCCAATGAGACTGCACCTTCATTTACGGTCTTTCCTGGCCTCTCACAGTGACATGCCTCACATCCATCCATACCTTCAAAACCTGTACCACTTGGGTGACACACATTACCAAGTCCATCTACCAGCATGAGGTACAATCTTGGCTACCTCTGAAAGACCATTTCTCTGTGCTCTTAGGAAATACTTCCCAGACATTTTCACATCGGTGATGCTGGTCCCTTAATTACCACTGATTTCTTAGCTCTAGCCAACCAGAATCGAGTAAAATTTTGCTTAAATACTTTTGATAACTTGCTCATCACAGCTGATACTTCAGCCCCAGCTAACCAGAACCAGAGGATCTAAACACATTTCTCCAATCCTTAAGACTTAAGTCAGAACCACAAGACCAAAGCTGTCAGGTTCTGCTGCTCACTGGGACTCGAACATGGTCCCTTATTTAATTACATCTTCACTAGCTTTCTTTCTTTCACTGCCTAAGCTTGGTGGTCCTGAACACTGCTCTGTAGACCAGGCTGACCTTGAATTCACAGAGATAAGTCTGCCTCTCTTTTCTGAGTCCTAGGATTGAAGGCAAGTGCCAACACCCCCTTTATTCCCCACTCCCTTCATTCCATTTCTTAATCTGTTTATGTCCTTGAACAGCAAATTTAGCAACATTCTACTTTGGGGGGAGGGGGCGTCTTTTCCCCAAGTATTTTTCCTTGCTCAGCTGCTCCTTACATTATATATCTTCATAAAGTTACCACTAATATTTACATGACAAAGTCTATTCTAGGCTGTTTTGAGATTTCTTCTTCCAATGCAATTAATCAAAAACTCCTCACTTTAGCCTCAGGGAGGTTCTTTTTTTTTAATATTTATTTATTTATTTATTATGTATACAATATTCTGTCTGTGTGTATGCCTTCAGGCCAGAAGAGGGCCACAAAACCCCATTACAGATGGTTGTGAGCCACCATGTGGTTGCTGGGAATTGAATTCAGGACCTTTGGAAGAGCAGGCAATGCTCTTAACCTCTGAGCCATCTCTCCAGCCCCCAGGGAGGTTCTTTAAAACAAAGCAAAATTCACGCACTTCCATCACCACAATATTAAAAGAATTATTTCTCAGTAATATACTAAAATCGTACTCTGAAATCTCTTGAGCTGGCTCCCGATATTTTACATCATTATTGAGGTCACTGTCACCCACGCTCCTCCTGGTATGACCCAGTATGGGGTGTTTAATGCATTCTATGTTAT